AAAAAAAAAAAAAAAATTGTGATCAGATATACATAGGATTAGGGCCGGGTGTGATGGCTCATGCCTGAAATCCCAGCACTCGGGAGGCTGAGGCAGGAGGATAACTGCGAGTTCGAGGCCAGCCTGGGCTACAAAAATGAGCTCAAGGCCAGCGTGAACTGTATAGCAAGACCCTATCTCAAAAAGACAAAAAAATAAAAAAGATATACATATGATTTACCCTTCTAACCACTTCCAGTTGAACAGTTCTGTGGCAGGAAGTATATTTACACTGCCGAGCAGCCAGCACCTCAGCCTTCTCCAGAGGTTTATTATCATCATAAATTGAAGCTCTGAACTAACCCCCATTTCTCCTCTCCCTCAGCCCTGGCAGCCGACACTTTATTTCTCTGTTCATTTGACTACTGTAGGGACTTTGTGTAAGTGGAATTACACAGTATTTGTCCTTCTGTTTTTTTTTTTTTTTCCTCCAGTACCAGGAATCGAACTCACGACTGTGCGCTTGCCAGGCAGGCGCTGTGCCGCTGAGCTAAATCCCCAGCCCCTGTGTCTGCCTTTTTTTGCTTGGTCTTCAGTTTATCCACATTGTTGCATGCATCAGTTTTCTTTTTTTTTTTTTTCTCAGCATTGTTTTATTTTGAGAAAGGGTCTTGTGAAGTTACTAAATTGCCCAGGCTGGGCTCAAAGTTGCAATCCTTTTGTCTGTCAGCCTCCAGGAGTGCTGGGATTACAGCCATGTGCCACCACACCCAGCTGCTCCATTCCTTTTTAAGGCCGAATAACATTTTAGTGCACATATATATTACATTTTGTTCATCCATTCACCTGTCTTTGGGCATTTGTGTTGTTTTTACGTTTTAGCCATTATGAATAATGCTGCCGTGAGTCTTGGTGTACAAAGGTCTGTCTTTTTTCATCTTGAGTTGTAAGAGGTCTTGAAACTCTGGTCTTTTCTGCCTTGCTATTTGCTGGCTCTGTTATTTTTAAACTCTGAATATGCCCTGATGCCACTGGTGATACTGACAGGCTCGAGGAAGCGCTCACCCGGGACTTCGTCTGACTCAGCCATTTTACAGATGGCAATGTTCACCCCCAGAAGGGAAGCCCAGGGGCCAACAGCAGCTTGTGGCAGAGCTGGGTCTGCAGCTCCGGCTGTCCGCTGCTGATCTTAGGTCTGCTATTGTCTCAGGCCATCCCTATCCGTTCCTCCTGCTGGCAACCAAGATTTAAGTTCACTAGAAATATTTGTGTGCGCAGTTATTAAAAGCATGGTAAAATTAGTGGAATTATAAATATGTTATTTGTAATTATACAGAGACGTATTTATGAGCTTGGTACTATCATTAACAGTTTTCTTTGCTTTTTTTTTTTTTTTTAGGCAGGGTCACGCTATGCAGTTCAGGCCGGCCTTGAACTCACTCTGTAGCCCAGGCTGGCCTCAAACTCACAGCAATCCTCCTGCCTCAGTCTCCTGAGTGCAGGGATTATAGGCATGAGCCACCATGCCCAGCTAACAGTTTTCTTTTCATATTGTCCTTTTAATACAGACATTCCTTGTTTAACGACTAGGCTCCAGTCCTGCTACTAGGTCGTTATTAAAGGAAGAATTATACATAGTGTACACATTACAATATTCAGAACAAAGAAATGGTCATGGGAAATTCCAACCTTTGTTTGTTTGTTTTTTTGTCTTTTTGAGACAGGGTCTCACTATGCAGTTCAGGCCGGTCTTGAACTCACTTTGTAGCCCAGGCTGGCCTCGAATTTGCAATGATCTTCCTGCCTCAGCCTCCCAAGTGCTGGGATTACACTCATGTACTACCACACCCGGCTTTCAGTATGCTATAGATATCCTTTCCCTTCCATGCCTACCCAGGGTACCATTATTCCCTCCATATTGGTGCCACTTGGGAGTTATTTTGCCAGCCCACTTCTTGGTCCTGCCCACCTGTCTGACCACCGTGTGAATTATAAATAATGAATTAATTATTCAGCATATCTACCAATGGATTGTTTTGATTTTTTTTTTTGGTAGTGGTACTGCGGATTGAACTCTGGGCCTTGTGCGTGCTAGGCAAGTACTGTACCATTGTGCTATATCCCCAGCCCAACAGATTGTTTTGAGATTGAGCTGTATATATAATTGATGATACTTGTGCATATAGCACACTTGCTTTTAGTAGCACAGGCTAATAGAATGTGAGAGATGCTTTTTGAGCTTAGGGATTGGCTTTAGTTACGTTTTTATTCCCACTGGTTTGTACAGGGCGAAGCATTTATAAAATGCATCCTTAATGATGGCAGTAACCATTGTTTTGGAGCATGCACAACAATCCCAGGCAGGTAATACTGTTTTTCCAGGCAAGAGAGGCTCAGAGCCCCCACATGTCACCTGTGGTTGTGCAGCTAGCGAGTGGCTCACCCTAGGTCTGCCTGACTCCAGAGAGTATGCGTAAAGTACACCATGGGTGACACTGTTTTCCTTTTTCTATGTTAAAGGAATACCAGAAGCTCTTTCCTGACATTCCCATAGGGTACTCGGGGCATGAAACAGGCATAGCGATATCTGTGGCCGCGGTGGCTTTGGGGGCCAAGGTGTTGGAGCGTCACATAACTTTGGACAAGACCTGGAAGGGGAGTGATCACTCAGCCTCGCTGGAGCCTGGAGAACTGGCTGAGCTGGTGCGATCTGTGCGGCTTGTGGAGAGGGCGCTGGGCTCTCCGACCAAGCAGATGCTGCCCTGTGAGACGGCCTGCAACGAGAAGGTGGGTGCTGCCTGTCTGCTCGGTTCTGCTGTCCCAAGGGGCACACTGCACCCTTGCCCCTCTCAGTGACTGTGCAAGCTGCAGGGAAGCTGTGTCACTGAAGTGGAAGTTCGGTCATTTCCTCGGCCACCTGGGATCACGTCAGAGTCTCCCATTAAGTCTCTGAAGCCTGTGGCCCCCGTGATCTTAGCCTCCCAGAGGTGTGCAGGGCTGAAGCCGGGGATGAGCCAAGCCTGGGGTGTGGCGGGGTAAGGAAGCCCTCAGACACAGGAGAAGAGTCTGTGGGACTCCTGGCGGGGAGGCACTGTGTGAGTTGTGGCTGTCAGGGCAGGGCTGGTGGAGACAGTGCAGATACTCGTTGGGCCATGCCAGCCTTCAGACACATGAGATGGTGAGGCTGAGACCCACCGTCGGGTGCACTGACCTTCTAGGCTTCTTGGAAGCTGTGGCCAGGATCTTCCTGCCCCCAAATCACAGAACCAGGTGTCCCGGATCTGCCCATGTGCAGACGCCGCCCATCTGCAGCAGGCTGCCCAGGTTGGGGGAGAGGGCAAACGCCAGGCTTGGGGGATGTTGTCATTTTTATTCTAGTGGTGCCTGCCTGCTGCCGCCCCAAGTGAAACACAGATGTATGACGTTAGTAGTAAAAAGAACACAACTATCTTGCAGAAGAAAATGGAAGAAAGTTGTGCCAGAAACAGGAAAGAGTTATGGTGGCTGAGTATGGCATCTGGCTGTGTAAACACACAGGTGCACACTCTGATAATCATCAGTTAACAGACATTTTTTCCAAACAGTAAGTTCAAGCAGAATCGGTTGCTTGGGCTCTTACATGGAGAATGTAGACCAAGGTAACAGGGGACTTGTTTCAGATCATCTGTGGGGAGGCAGAAACCCTGGTCGTGAGCTTCAGTGGCCCTCATTTCCCACACCTGCCTGTCCCGTCTGCCCCATCTTAGGGAGCCCCTTTGCTGTCACCTTCACCAACTTGTGAGCCCTCCACGGTTCTGTTTCGCTAAACAACGTGGCAGTAAGGTTTGTGTCACTAGTCAGGGCCCTCACGCTCTAGGTCAGTGGTGGCGAACCTGTGGCCCTCATGCTGCAGCTGGATGATTCTGTCACTGTAAGCTCGCAGAGGTTCGCCGTCACTGCTTTAGGCTCCCATCCTGGCTGTTTGCATCCTTGGCCAAGTTGCCCTCTATGGGCCTCAGTTTCCCCAAGTTTACAGTGAGATGTCGAATTAGATGATGACAGAAGTAATCATAGTTTCCACGTATTGAGAGCACTGTGCAGTCCAGGTTTATCACATATTATCTCCAATCTATGTAGTCATTGGACAAGGTACAGGCGCTGTATTTCCTGTTTTACAGTGAAGCCAAAACACCTCATCCCGAGGTGCCAGGGACTGACCCTGGCTGGCGGCTGCATAACCTGACTCCTTCCCTCTGCAGTCCACTGTGCAGGCCCCTCCTGGAGTCCGTGAAGTCACCCCACACTGGCAGCGTCCCTGCTGCTCTGGGTACTGTAGACACAACAGTCCGTACTCTCAAGGCTTCTCGGAGACTCCCCAGGGACTCTGAGTGGGAAGCAGTGTGCAGTGTGGCCTCTGACTCTGGCACTGAGTGTTGCTCTTGTCCACAGCTGGGCAAGTCTGTGGTGGCCAAAGTGAGAATTCCAGAAGGCACCGTTCTCACGCTGGACATGCTCACTGTGAAGGTCAGTGAGCCTAAAGGCTGTCCTCCTGAAGACATCTTTAATCTAGTGGGCAAGAAGATCCTGGTCACTGTTGAAGAAGATGACACCATCGTAGAAGAATCTGTAGAAAATCATGGCAAAAAAATCAAGTCTTAAAATAAAGTGCCATTCTGTCGATCTCAGTCGTCCTGCTGGTGCTGTCTGATGTGTTGGGGCAGTGGGATAGGGTGGGCAGTCGCTGGGCACCTGGCTTTCCTCCATTGTGCCTCCCTTACACAGCAGCCAGTTCAGGGCTAGGCCTGTGTCCAGTCCATTGGAAAGCAAAAGGGCACATGCGGCAGTCTCTGCCTACAGTTGGCCAGCCCAGGGCGGAGAGAGGCGCAAAAGGCCGGTCCCTGTCCTGCGGTTTCTGTGTGGTGACAGAAGGTGAGAGCGGGCTGTGTGCGTTCTCTCCTTTGATCCTTGTTCTCACTCTGCAAAGCCAAACCCGAATGACCCACATTCTCACTTCCGCACATACCTCTAGCTATCTCTTCTCTCCTCTCCTTACCGCCCTGCCCCTGGCTCTGTGACTAGCAGCATGGCATAGTGGTCAGTTGGCATTAGAGAAGCGGTTGGTCAGAGGATCTTGTGGGTAGAGGAATACTGAAAGCACGCCTGACCTTGAGCAGATGGGACTGGCACGCCACCCTTCATCAAATTCTGAGGCCTACTGTGTGCCAGCACTACACAGCCCAGTCCATTCCTCAGAGAGGTGGCCCTCAGTCCAGGCAGGTGTACGGGAAACCTAGCAGAGTGGTAAGCTGGTCAGCAGCGTTAGAAGATGGTATGTGCAGTAGGAAACGGATCAGCGTAAAGGGGCCGGGCAGTGTGGGGCTCGAGGTCTGCAGGTTGTACATACGAGACTGATGCTGAAATCAGCTCTTTCATAAGCAATAAAGCATGACATCACATAAAATTAGAAACCCAGCTCACAAAGTGCTTTGTTTCCTTGAACAAGCAGCATGCACCTTTTCCAGAGATTCAGTGTCATCTTTCCCTTTGTGCTTTTGAATCAATACTGAAACGAATCATTTTTTTCAAATGCCTTTTCAAATTCTTTGTTCATATTTTTAAAATTTAGTTTAATTTTAAAAATATTGTTTGTTCATATTTATTTGACCTTGTCTCTTGTGTAACTCCTCTTCATCCCAAGTATGTATTTGTGGCTTTCTTCAAATGACTATAATCAGGCTTTCAGATTTTCTTTACGTGTGAGTCTAGGGCCTGTCGCTTCTGTGGATCCCAACAATCTGGTGAGGTATGCATGTCTGTGGGGTAGCGGTAGTTAGGGGCACCTTGAGTTGTACTTGAGTAAGAGAACCCACAATATACCCATATGTGGGTATCCGTGGATAAATTATGCATCTGCTTATAGCCAGTAGGAGCTGGGTTAAAATGGACCTCCTGCTTCACCAGGCTGAACCAAGGGCCACACCTCCAGCCCATTCCAGTTGGGGAGCTCAGGTCTGGAAGAATCCCTGAGTATCTCCAGGCAGAGGGTACAGTACTGGGCCCAAGGTGAGGAAGCAGCTGCTCCCATCTGAGAGTTCCCAGCACCTCCCCGACAGTGCCCCACATGTGTGAACGGCCAAGGGGGTAACAGAATCATGGGAACCACACTAGGAGCATGGGGGAGGGCTGTGGCACTCTAGTTCAGACTTGCAGGTTGAGCAGTGACCGAGGGCCATGTGCACAGGATCCCAAGTGTGCCCCGGCACTAGCAAACAGTGTTTGGTAGGAGTGGCGCACAGGAAGGAAGGAAGGGCTTTAAGGCCTGCCACATTGCCCTTTGTTCTACAGGGGTGGGGACCAACGGGAGGTTTCTAAGGAGGACACAGCAGACTCAGACCTGGCCTGCTCTCGTGCTCACTCCCCACCATATGCAGCTTGCTATCTTTTAAAATCTGTACTAATTTACTTTTTCCCCAATTTTTCTTTTTTATTAGTATATAAGGATTACATCCCTTGTGGGGAGTTGGTACATGGCGTATCTTCTCTCTTCATCTCCTTTCCCCTCCCTTCATCTTAGTTCCCTCACATTTGCAAAAGATCTGTCTCCTTATTTCCTATTATCTTTTATTTTGCTCTTTATATTTTGGGTTTCTCCTATACGATAAACCATGTGATACTGAAGCTTGTGTTTTTATTTCATTTAACATTATGGTCTCAAGGTGCATCCATTTTCCTACAAATGACTCAAGTTTATCTTTACAGCAGAATGGTACTTACTGTGTGCATCACATTTTCTTTATCCATTCGTCTGTTGATGGACATGTGGGCTACTTCCAAGATTTAGCTGTTTGTATAAACATGGGTTTGCGTGCGTCACTGTAACATGACTGCGGCTTGCTGTCTTCAACAGGTGGTCCTTCAGGGCACTTCTGCCCAACCAGGTCTGGGCTTTGTAGCACCACCTTTGCGTGCCCTCTCCTGGGCTGTGGCCCCTTTAGGCTGATGGCACTGACAGAGTGGAATTACAGAAGGGAGAGATGATACCATAGAGAGGGGAGGGCTCCTAAAATCTCTACAAACTGGCTACTGACCACAAATGGCTTCGGTGGTTCTAGAGGATGGCTTAAAAGATGCTGTAAACCACCTAATACTGTCTTGAGTAGGAAGAGCTGGAAATCAAGAGTTTGTTTGCACTGAATCAAGAATTTAGTTATCTTCAGGAGTTATGTATTCTCTGCCACTGGAGATGTTCACTCATAGACCGGCTGCCCATCACAAGGAAATTAAGGAGGGGATGAGAGGTGAATGAGGGCCTGTCTAGGCCCGGGTGCTACATACTTGATCAAACCGACATGACTTCCCAATGAAGAACAGTTACAAGGCACAGTATTCATGTTTTATTAAAACGAGAAAATTGCTGTAATTTAAAAATAGCTGCAAGACTGAAGATGTGGTTCAGGGGTATGTGCCAGGGCCTGGGTTCGAGCCCCGGGATGGCACCGGGAAAACAGAGTGCAAGCAATTTGCTGTATGAGTACGGGTGTTTCTACAACTTCACTCTGGAAGAGAATAAGGTACGTGACCAATACCCTATGGACATACCCTGAAAAAGACATGCCCCCTATCCTGGAAGTGTGAAGGAGACTTGCACTCCTGCCACAGGGTGGCCGGGCAGCTCAGACCCCCCAGCCCTGTGCTGTATACCCACAGCGGTTGCTGCACTGCCACATCCTAGCAGGACAGAGCACTGGTTTTAAAGGCAGTTTCAGGATTGTTCCTCACAGCACTGGAAGTTAGTCATTGCCCCTATTTTACTGATGAAGATACAGGAAGTAAATTGTGACATCCTGAGGTCAAACAGCTGAATACTGAACCAACCCCAGTTTTCTGGCTTGCACAGGCCTTGGCCAGAGCAGTTTTCCTACTTCATAGTTTGGCTCTGTCTCTGCTATGTGAATCCTAAACTTCTCAAAACAAGTCTCCTGAAGTGTTAGGCTTCATCTCAGAGGCCAAAGAAGGTAATCCAAAGGTGGAATCAGGACCCACAGAATAAGGGGTGAAATGACACATCCCAGGCACTAGCTCAGTAAGGGGCTGGGGCAGCCATTTACAACCACCCTGAACAGTACAGCCTGGTGGACAGAAGCAGGACCCTTCACTCCAACCCTAGCTGTGTGACCTTGGGCAAGTGACACATCTGTCTCCATTCTGTCATGCACAGAATGGGAAAGCTTTCTGCCCCTTGGGGACAACATAAGGACTACTGCGTTTAGTAAGGCTGCGTGTGGCAGCAACCACAGCTGTTAGGAGCTGCCATGGACTGGCCTCTGGAGTCGAGTCTGCTAAAAAAAAAAGTCCTGCTCTTCAGGGATGGATGGTGATGTGGAGTCAAGCACACATCTCCTTCCATAAAAATTCAGCTCTGGAGCCAGGTGTGGTGGCTTACCCCGTAATCCCAGTACTTAGGAGGCTGAGGCAGGATTGTTGTGAGTTTGAGGCCAGCCTGAAGTGCATAGTGAAACTGTCTCGGGCCAGGGATATAGCTCAGTGGCATAAGTGCCTGCCTGGCAAGTGCGAGGTCCTGAGTTCGATTCCCAGTACAAAAAAAAAAAAAGAAAACGGTCTCAAAAAGACAAAAAAAAAATCAGCTCTGGGCCATGTCCAGTAATTAATTTTTCCTTTACTCAGGATCTTGAAGCATAGTGCTTTGACATCTGTCTAGCTAGTTTTAAATTATTTGGTCAGAACTAAAGGCACTTTGGTTCCTTCAGCCTTGTATTCTACTTGCATTGTGTTGCCCCATATTAAAGTGGCGTTTTAACAGTATTATATGGTTCAAACAAGTGCACTGCGTCTTTTTAAACCACAAGGAAGGGTGAGCTTTCACTTTCCTCACCTTCCACCGTAAACCTGAGATGCTTTAACACTGTGAACCTTCACAGCCATCGTAGAAATTGACAGGATGCTGAACCTTCACACCCGAGGCACAGGCCCTGGGAAGAGGCAGCCTTTTGCCACCAGAGGCCTCTCTGTGGGTCCTGCCCCTTTGGCTTTTTCTATTTCTGTCCTGTCATTCCAGAAACTGGGCTTCCTGAGTTTCCTCAGCAGCGCCTGGGTTTGAGGGGTCCGAGGAGCTCCAGGCTGTCTGGAGCTGCTCAAGCCCCACGTAACTCTTCTTTCCGTCCCTAAGACAGGCGGTTGGCAGACTGCCTGCGGGTGATAGTAACAGTCACCTGCTGAATCCTACCCGACACCCCCTGAGAAACAGTCAAATCCCCCCCAGGTTGAAAGCCACGCTAAAAGGGCAGGAAAGGACCAGGGCAGGCACTTGCCTGGGGCACGGGGTGGGACACGGAGCTGGGCTTCAGCCTCGCCCAGCCTTAAACCACTAGGCAGCTCCGGCCTTCCTGCCCACTCTGTGCCCACTAGGTGCCAGGAGGTTCCCAGGCCGAGGACCATGCGATCGGACCACTCGGGATGCTCAGGGTACCTGTGGGCGCCCCACTTTCAGGGACCTGCTCCAAAAGCAGGGTAGTCAGTGCCGGTGGTGGGGGAGGCCCGCGAGGAGGGCAACAGCAGGCGCCTTCAAGGCTCCTCGGAAACTAGCCTGGGGGGTGGGGGCAATGGGCGGGCGGGGGAGGGCACGCCTGGGCCCTAGGGCAGCCGGGGGATGCTGATGGCCCCCTCCCAGAGCCGCAGGGCCGGGTACAGCGGTTCCTGGAAGGTGGCCTGGAAGGTGTGCAGGTGGCGCATTCCGCCCGTCACGTCGTAGAAGGCGAGGACGCCGGCCTCGTAGTCCAGGAAGACACCGAGCCGGTCCAGGTCCTCCCGGGGCCGCAGGCGGCTGCGCTGGCAGTCGTGGAAGGCCCAGTACTCGAGGTCGTAGCGCTTGAGGCACCAGGACTGGCGGTTGCAGCCCAGGCGGGCGGCGGCCGAGTCCCCGCGGCGCCGCAGGGACGGGTAGGCGGCGCCCACCCACCAGCCGCAGCCCGCCTCCTGCACGTCCACCTCCCAGTAGTGGCGGCCGGCGGCAAAGCAGTCTCGACTCAGCACCTGCCAGAGCGCGTCGAAGCGCAGCGCGGGCGTCGGCCCCAGGCCGCCCACGAGGCCGCAGCGCACCGTCAGGCGGTCGGCGGACAG